CCATATTGTCCACTCCACTTTTGGTTTTGTTATAATATAAAATTATTTCTGGTTTGGCAGGTTCCTTATTACTTTCAATAACTGGTGACATGTGCATTGATGACAACATTATTACTGCTTTATTCTTTTTGGGTACATAGGAGCACACAGTTGCTTCTTTGCTAAAGGCGAAGTTAGAAGAATAAATCACCCTCTCCTTGTGTGCTTGCATATTTGGAGGAAGAAACCGTTTATTTTTTCTTACCGTTCCAACTAGTGTCATGTTCCACGAATTCAAAGAATGAGCTAGTTGAAGAGACGTAAAAAAATTATCCGTAGTTACATTCAGTCCTGAATTTTTATATTTAGCCACGAGATCTAATACAGTGCATTCTCCAACATTTGTTTGACGATTGCCATCACTTGACTTTCCTGTATATATTTGTCCATTTAGGGGGTAGGAATTATTTGCATCACAAGCCCAAAATATTTTTATGCCATACTTTTCAGGTTTTGATGGCATGTATTGAGTAAAGCGAGTACGCCCACGATATCCATATAGCTGTTCGTCAACGGTAATACATTCACGAGGCTTGTACATTTTATTCAAATTTGAAATGAACATAGTCCAAATATCTCGTACAGCGGCAACTTTATCAGCTAACAAACGTTCAAGGCGCGTTGCATCATTATCAAACCTAATGAAGCGTAACAGCATTTTGAATCTGTCATGGGACATCGCAGCCCGAAATAGTGGTAAGTGACTGGATTTCCACAATTCAGTCAAATGCTCTTTATTAGATCTATGCACCCCACTAAAGATTAAAATGCCAAAAAATGCATCCAATTCTTGTTCTGTGAATGGTTTGAATATTTTTTGTTTCGGTCGCTTGCTGATATGAGGGTAATTTTCTATTAGTTTATTATTGTATGCTTCAGTAATCTTTGTCCCTTTTCGATTAGTTTCCCTCAAGATTATGTCACATATCTCATTGGACAATATATTTTTGAATATTTCCATTTGATTGTAAAGTTTACTGAAAGATGCAGCCCCGCCCCGTTGACGAATAATGTTTCGACTACTAGTTTGTGTTCTGGGAAGTGGATCAGACTGCCACCGCGTTCCATCTTTTGCAATAAAAATGTTTTCAAAAGATTCACCTTCAAAACTCGCATCGGAATCGTAAGAGTCGATCTCATTTTCGACTTCAGCTTCTGGCTCAACATCAGAAATTTCCAATCCACCCTCTTCAACCAAAGGAATATAATCGTGTTCATTATCAGAAGCAACAAACTCACCTTCGTCACTGGAAGATTCTGCTAATATGGCTTGTAATTCTGTTGAATTATATCTTCGAACACTTGATCTTTGTTTAGAAGTACTTGCTCCAATATTCATAATGAAATAATTATAAACTCACAAAGTAGAAGTAAAATCGTACAATACGAACACAGAAAACAGTCAAGTGTCAATATCAAGCACGATGCATTGAATGGATTCAAGTGTTTCTTGCGCACCGATAACCATGTACCGCACTCCACCCCTCCCCCGCTATAATCGCCTCAGATCGTCAACTGTTTAGGTGAACTAAAATAATAATATTCAAAGTGAGGGTAACATTAAAACAGACCTTGATTGTTTACATTACGTCTAAACTGTATAAAGGTACCCGGGTACCTCGTCACTCTCATAAAGGTGTTTTATTTGTCACTCACATAAGGGTTAAAAAATCACAAAATTACATACCCCTAACATTTATATTTTTTCCATTTCTTGTTGTATTCAACCCTAGGAAAAATTAATATAAATAAGTGAGCAACTTGTAGTCAAGAGAATTATGCTGTACTTTTACAATAATCGTAATAGTTTGCGAGGAATTAATTAAAAACCTTTTTGTCATCCTCTATCCCCATCTATCTTATTGCCGACACAATGAGAGAGACAGAAACAGCCTTTGCCTTTATGCCCTTTCTTAAATTAAATGCTACTAGAGCTAACACACCAAATACACGATACGGAATTTTTCATCTTAATGCGTATTTATTTGATTACTTAACTGTTTTCCCCGGTTCTACGCGCGCGAATAATGACATATTGTGTAGCTTGCCGTAGGTGAAATAATTTACATGGGCTGATCAGTATTTCCGTAATTACCCCATATAAACAAACAAAGAAACTTTACCTCTTTATAATAAGTTTAAGTAAATAAAGCACCAATTTAAGTTATCCGGGAGCCGAAATCAGTTTTTAATAAAGTAACAGATAAGGGGTAGAGTGTTTAATCAACTAATATTCGATAATAATCGCCAATAAAGAACTTATTACCTATCCACACTATTTAATATTGTGTTATCACACCTAGAGTCGCGTGCGTGATTTTTATTAATTTTTATTGGGTTACATTATAATCTTTAAAAATATGACGTGTGTTTATATTTGATGATTAACTTACCACGATTACTATATACCCAATCAACTTTGCGATTTTGTTTTAAAATCATATTCGAACTCATCATCGAGTACAGTACTGATTCAAGATAGAGGTTCAAAGGATTAAAACCTTTATTACATTTTAAATAGGTTTTATTTGATTGAAGTTCTATGCTATTTGTATGTTTTTGACGTCCAGTTCAAAGATGATTTTATAGTACTGCTGGAAAAGTAGTAGCTTTCAGATTTTTTAACGGGAAAGTCACAAGTAATTATTATACAATTGTCTGCTATTTTTATCAGAGTTTTTCTATTTCCTTTTTTATTTTTTATATATTTTTTTTTTCATTTTAGAGGCCTATGTTATCTAAAAACCCTTTTCTGTTTTCACGGCGGATCCTTTACAAGATTGGTAGAGAGAATAGGGAGAAAATAGAAAGAACGAGGGTACGACCGCCTTAACTCTCTAGTTTTAGTCATAGTTATAAACATTTTATAAATTTTAAAATAAGACTAATTCAAACAAACGTAAAATATTGAAAGAAACTAAAAAGTTTGATTAAATTTATAAATAATAATAAATTAAACATATTTTAATAGAACAATATACGAGTATAGTCATAGGCATATTCATAGGCAACTTTCGCACTTGTCGGTCTTCCACATAAATAAAGCTACATTATCATTTAGTAACATAACATATATTTTATTAAATATAAAGTGTTAGAAAAGTATGTGCTGTCAGCTATAGTATGTATAATTAAATAATCTTTTTAAAGCTAGCATTTACGAAAACTGACGTTGTTATTTATTGTTATTGTTAAGTTACGTTGTTATTAAAAATTATTTTCGTTTAACCAATATTTGAACACAATCTTTTATCATTAAACAAGTTTCAGTATAAAATAACTCGTTTAAATCGATTCTATTGAAAACCCGATTGATAGTCAGAAAAGATTTCAACGCGTCACTAAAATAAAAATCTATACTAATATTTTAAAGAGGAAAAATATTATTGTTAGTTTGTTTATTTGCATCGAATGGGGTCCGAAACAACTGTACCGATTTTAAAAATTCTATAAAGTTACATCATATGTGGTGAACGTTGGTTATATTTTATCCCAAAAAAACACCAAATAAAGGTATGAAAATAGGAATGGAAGTTTACATTGTTTACTATTCAATTTTTCATTGTAATTATATCCAAATATACAGCTGCTTAGGAACCACGCGGACGAATCCGCTGGCGGATAGCTAGCATAACAATAATAATTATGAAATTTTGGTACCTTCGTTGTCTCAGATACTCCATAATACGGGGGCTTTAGCTACACATCTTGGAATCTGAGCAATGTATGTGATGTTGTTAAATATATAAATATTTTTTTTAAACTATTTTCAATAAACAGTTTAATTTGATTGATTTTAATATATAGTACCTCTAGTTTCAATTATAATATAAATCATATGCTGTTTTTTCGCGACTTTGCCCTACGTTGGTGTGTAAGCCGCATATGATGTAGCGTTCCTAGGTGAAAGAATTTTTAAAATAGATTTATTCGTTTTGGAGACTATATAATCCAAACAAACCATGTAATCGATCCTGTTTACAATATTACCATAGATAAATTTTATATTTACTGTTCATGTAATTTTAATGAAATTTTATTATCCTTTGAGATTTGTAAATGTGAATTGGCTACTTTTTATTGAATACCATGCGAGAAAAGCCACATGCAAAAGTTTGTTTTATTAAAAAAAGTAGTTACGTGCGAGTTCGATTAGCCTTTAACAACAAGCATGAGTTAGCAAGGAATATCTTTGTTTTACAGAGCTTGCATAAATGACAATGTTATATAAGTATTTACTGTTTTCGAAAATGAGCTAAAATCTCATTAAAACATAGAAATTTATAGCATTCATATTTCTTCATATATATTTCACTCTCCCATTTCAAGTTAGTAGAAAAATGAGCACATTTGGAAGTGTCCAATCTTTCTAATAAATAGACACCTCGCAAGTATAAGTAAACCCAATGATCCTTTCTTTAAATTGTGTGTTAACCCAAAGTGGCTAGAACACACGATCGGACAGATAAACATGACAAATTTATAAGGATTCTACTTTTGACATCTGCCTCCAGAACTCAAATTGAATTTAAACCTTTATGTGTTGTTATTTAAGTTAAACTCGAATACCAGATGTGTTTTTATCTGTACATAGGTTGATCTCATCGATATATCACTGAACTCATAATTGGAATAATTTATATAAAAGAATATAATATAAACATATTCAGTCACCCGGTTATATATTTATTCATCTATTCGCTCTCGTAGGTATGTTACTTAAACACAATGTTTAAGGAAAGTTAGATATTTTTGTTCAGATTCTGTTATATAAAACAAATGCAATATTTTGCATAGTTTCCAATGAATAATAATTTACTATAAAGTATTTTTATTTAAGATAAATACAGAATAAATATCCTTATAGCATTTTGAATCAAAATTGATCAAGTTTTATATGATAAAAATAATTAAACTTGTTACAGGATACAGAATAGAGAGAAAAATCATTTTGACACAGGATGTCATCACAGATTTTAACACATATGTATCGACGCGACTCGAGTGACCAGGATCGACCTCTAGACATTGACGACCACGACCGCAGCACATCGAACAGCCCCAAAAACATGAAATACTATAAACAAGTAGACGAAGACAAAACAATAATCAGTCAGAACAAGAAATCCTTTTGTATAGACGCACTATTATCCCGCCACATCGAACCAGAGACAACACTCCAAGATAGAATGACGCAGCAAAAGTATCTAGCTCTGATTCAAAATAAGAATTACATAAATAGGTTTGATAACGAGAACTATGACGCGCAAATTGAGCAGAATACCATAAACAAATATCAGGGGCAGAGCTTTGAGCAGCGAGCGGATAGTCCTCGTTCTGGAGCGAGTACGCCTCGGAGTGGTAGTCCAGCATCTGATGATGGAAACAGATCGGGCAGCTACAGCCCTCCAATTTCACCAGGCGTGGAAGGGGGGAACGAAGAGTTTGATAATTATAGACCTGGTGAGTTCACATCACATTAAATCTACACAAATATTGCATAGAGGTAAAGTTTTTAACATTGTTTATTTGTTTATAGGGGGTAATCTTTAAAAATACTGAACCGATTATGAAATTTTTTCACTCACCGAAAGTTACATCAAACGTTGGTGACATAAACTGTAATTTAAGCGAGCGAATTCGCCAAACAATTAGTAACGGATAATTTTGTGTAATTAAAATGACATTTCGCTTTCCTGAAATGACAAATCACTGGCTTGAAAAGTAGTTTCCACAGATCTATGTTCATATTAATAAATATATAATTATCGTGTTATTATCATGCAGCTTTAGTACTTTATGTATAAAATAGCTCTTTATCAGAACAGTCAGACTACTAATTAATGCCTTAAAAGTAAGAAATAAATATCGAAATACAATCTCTACTGATTGTAGCTATACTTATTTTTGTATCTATCTATCTTAGATTTCTAACAAACAGAAAGTTTTAAGCTAAACAACAATCAATCTGTTTACAAATACTTAGATGATTAAATTAAACAACTTAAAAAATGTGAATGTTACATAGGTATCATCCCCAAGCCGGGCCTGCTGCCTCAGAATCCAGCGTTAGTAGCTGCTCAGTCCGCTGCATTATTCAACTACCCCCAGCTGTCACCTGGCGCTCTACCTCCTGGCGCTCCCCTGCCGTCCGCCTTCCACCACCCAGGGGACAGAGTTCTGCACCACATGCAGCTCGAGTGGCTGGCCAGAACCGGAATGTTTTATCATAGAATACCAGAACTTGGTGGTGAGTAAATATTTGCTTTTTTTAATCTATTTTAATACCTACGTAAACGAATCGCTAAATATGTTACTGAGTGTAGTAAATTGGAGAACAACTCTGTAAAATAAAATAAATGTTTATTAAAATTATTTACATATCGAAACAAATGTACACATCTGTTTGTGATAACATTTTAGTAAGTATATAGAATATAAGAATCAACAAATTGAGAGAAACATAAAAACAACAGTTTTCTATTCCCATTTTAACTCTTTATAGCAGATAATGCCAATAGTTGTAGGGAAAAGCAAAAATAATTAATATGAAATAGAATCAATCGAATTTTTTAAGCATTTGTTACTTTTTCACTTCTACAAGGTAAATTTTCATCAATGCTCGGGCAATCCACCCAAACAGCAGAAAGAAATATTTTTACAAATATTTAAACTTTCGATAAAGATTAGAATTTGTTCTAATTATTATAAATTTTGCATTCACAATGTTTTACAGAAAAATATTCTTAATGAATAATTCTTAGTAGTGAAAAAGTAACAGATGCTTGAAAAATTTGTCAGTCCTGTTACGTCCTGGGTAGCTCGGTGGTTAAAGCAATCGCTTGGATTGCGAAAGGTCGCGGGTTCGAGTCCTTATTCAGAGTACCAGTGAAAAAATGGATTTTTTAAGCATTTTTCATTAATAATATGAAATATATGTCGTATTGTTTCAAGAAAGTTTCATTTATAATTTTTATTGAGTGTATTAATGAAATTTAAGGTATAATGTTCACGAATTTCTTTATAATGGACTCAATATTTTTCTTTTGCTTTATTTTTCTAAACTTATAATTAATTCCTATACAAGAAACTAAAAAAAAATATCTTTTGTAATTATACATAAAATAAGACACAAGGCTTTAATTAGCTTTAATTATTTAAGCAAAAAAAAATGAGAAATAATAAAAAGAATTTCAAATTTAGAAAAATATAAAAGCTTTTTTCAAGACACGCACTCACGCGCAAAAAATAGCAACACTTATGAGACCTCATCGCTATTTTAAGGGGTGTATTTATTTATAGTGCTGGTAATTTGCACTAATTTTGTTAACAAGTGAGCAAGTGAGCGTCAGTCACCCTCAGTGAGAGGGGGAGCTGTACCATGCGCATGTTATAATGTTGATTAAATACAGGGGAGAGCTTAAACGACTTTGACAAAATGGCACATTAAAATCATGCGCGTTTAATTTTACATACGATTAATAATCATTTCATATAAATAAGTTTTTTGTTAGTTAACTTAATAAGGCAAATTTCATGTCGCCGTTACGCCTCAAAAAGAAGTTTAAATTGTTAATTTATTAATGTAGTTTCTTATTGGGCACTTCTAGTGTAAAAAGATACGTTATATTTCACAAATGCATTTTGATATCATACCTAATAAGTAATTTTAAAAATGACAAAATAGTTTCGTATGCGTAATGACATGACACCCAGATTTAACAGCCACTGTTGTTTATAAACTAAGTACCAAACTTCAATATTCTTGCAGTTATTTTCTTCTATCTTCGACAATTTGGCATACCTTAGCAAAATTTCCTAGACAAAATCTTCCATTACAATCAGAGGTGTCAGGAACAATTATGTTTTGTTAAGTGTTGGGTTCTTGGGACTGAACAACGCTTCCTTCCTAAATAATACGCGAAGCTATTAAAATAAAAGACAAGCATCTGAATTTTAATAGAAATGAATATACCACCGGCTTGAGATCCAGTGATTAATCAAATAAAATCTTAATCTAGATGACACACTGCAAAACTTAAAAAAATAGAACCGACTTCAGACCTCAAAAAAAGTGACAAATGATACTTATCTCAAAGGTGACTTATTCAAGAAAATGCTATTGAAGTCGTGGGGAGGTCTTCTGTAGGTTTATTAATTAAATTATGACGCCCGACTTTAGTAGCATTTTCTTGAATAAGTCGCTTTTGAGATAATTATTATTTATGAAATACAATACATATCAAATAAAAGATATTTTTTACCATATTACCTAAATATTTGTTTAGGTATTCGATTTCGACCAAATTCAAATGGGACCACCTGGGTACTTTAAGCTGTCGAATAAAAAAAAAGAATTTTCAAAATCGGTCAACAATTGGCGGAAATATCAATTAAAGTATGTTATTAAAAAAAAACATACGTCGCTGTCGAACATTAACCTCCTCCTTTTGGATTTGGAAATCGGTTAAAAACCAAAATGTACAGTTAGTTCAATCGGTAAATATTAAATCAAAGGGAGCAATTCACTTTTTTGTCGGAGTTTGTTTCGCCAGTTCTTCTCGAACAAGACTCCCAAATTTGGAAATAGTTTACCGTAGCCAGGGGTAAATAAATGTATAAAAATTAAATAAATCAATTGTATTTTTAAAAATTAAATACCCTTCAATCCGCATTGAGCCAGCGTGAAGGGTCAAGGCCCATCCTCCTTACCATCCATAAGAAAGGCCTGCCCTGCAGTGGACAAGTAAAAAGGCTAAAGATGAACTTTAATATGTGCATGTAGATAAATACACAACTATTTTTGAAAATAATTTCCTATAACAAAATATATGATGTTTAAATATTATTAAAGCTAACATGTTTAAGTAAGGAATAAGTACAAATTAAAATCACAATGCCATAACGAAATGGTTCTAGTGACATGTGTATTGAATAAACAGAGGGTGTGTGACAAATATACTAAACACCTCGCTTAATCCACAGACGAGCGATTCCAACTGCGAATTGGTCACGCGGTTTTACTCGCATTTTGAATAACTGAAGCGTCATCAACGTTTGCTTGCTCGGTTCCCAATTAATTATTTATTAGTTATCGGCGCAATATGTACATATTCTTCCATCTTCACTGTGAGTTGCTCTGTGGACTCTAATTTTAAATCTCTCGCAATCCCTTTCGAAGGTAAAGCGAAGGACTTTGAAAATCGCAATCGTATAATCTATATATAATATATAATATAACTCAAAGATGACTGACTGACGTAGTGATCTATCAACGCACAACCCAAACCACTGGACGGATCGGGCTGAACTTTGGCATGATGTTATGACGTAGGCATCCCCTAAGAAAGGATTTTGATAAATTCCACCCCTAAGGGGGTAAAATTTGGGATGAAACTTTATTTCAGGTATTTTACACGATATAATTAATAAATATTAGTTAAAAATGCTGCTAAAAGTAACTTTACCACGCGGACGAAGTCGCGCAAAAGCTAGTCAATACAAAATTAACTTAGTTGAACTCGTCGAAAGACTGCAGAAAGCATTCAACTCATTCGTTTGACATTTATCAATTGCAGCAATCGCTGTCATATATCAAATATTTATAGCGTGAATATCTTACAAACGACAAATCGAAACGGATTGCGATAGATTGAAAAATTGGCAACCCTAAGACCCTAAGTTTTATTATAATGAAGCTTTGTGCTAAGATAGCATTACTTTCGTCAAGGATTTCACGGTTGTTTTAGAACAATATAGCCCTTCTGATTAGGTGGATTAGATAGACAAAGTTAAAAATAATAAGTTCAATAACTAAAACCCGACTATTTGTCCAGCTAAGATTAGTAGTTTCGAAGTTACATACCGGCCAAAACCATACCCCCTCTTCGCTTCGCCGTAGTCGAGTAAATACTTATTCAATTCTATTTGTTGTTGAATGACATACTTATCTTAGTGTTTTTACACCTAACCGTTATAAAAACGAGGTAGCTCTCATTTCATCTGAATTTTCGTATAACGAATGAAGATCGACTTCTTATCGATCGATAATGCGATCAATCATCATACATTTAGAGGAATCGATAAAACCTAACAATGATAAATGTGTTTTATCATTATAAATTGGTAATACTTTTCAACTATACATCTTATTATTGCGAAATCGTTTTCAGATAAGTTTTTTTTTTATAAATCATTATTTGACAGCAGAAAAATAGCACGAGGCTTTAGTGGACAAGTGTTATATAATATAGCTGAACAGCAGTGCAATTCTATAAAAATCCAAACCCGAATTGGAATTCGCTCAGGTGTCTGAATTCACTTCAAAAGCGGCATCCGCTCAATCTTGAATTTCGTGGCATAAGTGAAGTGAATTTCGAAATGACATAAAAGAATATTTGAGATACGCATAAATCTGTCAATCTAGTTTTGTATTTTTATACATAAATGGGACCAATACAATTTCTACACTAAATGACATGAATTCGTGATTTGAATTGGAGTTTGGAATTTTTACAGAATCGCTTCCCAGATATGCAAGACAATCTTTATAAAAAAACCTTGAACTCGACGTCGAGCACAGCGCTATCATAGCTATCATAGCATAGATATACAATAAAAAAAACCCACTTTAAAATTTAATAAAAGTTTTCCTTCATAGATGCTCTTTGCTCAACCTTAATGTCTTTAACCTTTATTACCTTTTGAAGAAGGTTTTGTTTGCTTAAATCTCTATGCTATGACAAGAATATGCTCGACGTCGAGTTAGAGGTTGTTTTTTAAGAGAATAATATAACCGTACTGCTGGATATATGAAACGTTTACTTCGAACGGAAAAATATGCGTGCTTACTGATATTTTCTATACGCTTTGTTAATATAAAAAATAAGTCGACGACCAAAAGATATGTCAGTCCTGTTAGGTCCAGGGTAGCTCAGTGGTTAGAGCAGTCACCAGGATTGCGAAAGGTCATGGGTTCGAGTCACATTTCAGAATGCCATGGATAAACTTGACTTTTTAAACCCTTTTCATTAAACACTTTTTATAAAATTCAAGACCAATAGTTTTTTATGATATTAAAAAAAAATGTTTATTATGTAAATTGGCTAAAACTAATTTACACAGATTAAATAAAACAACTTTTCAATGGTTTCATTTATGGAGCACATGGAAATATAAGAAATCAATATTACACAGATGATATTGAGTTATTACAGTAATGTATGCTTAGAAAGAGTTTTATTCATAATT